GGTTATTCCTACTGCCAGGCTTAGCCCCAGCTTCCAGGAAAGGCCCCAGTTCCCAATTTCTCTCCACAGGAAGCGTAGTTCAGAAAGATAACTGTCTTTTTTTTTTTTTTTTTTTTTTGAGACAAGGTCTTCTACATAGCCCAAGTTGGCCATGAACTCAAGAGGATTCTCCTGCCTCAGCCTATTGAGTGTTGGGATTACAGCATGTGGTATCATGCCTGGCTGAAAAAGATAACTGTCCCTAAAAGAGAATAGACTCAGGATTTTGAAAAAAAGAGCAAAGAATACTTTGGGAATTATAACTAATGCTTAGTATAAATTTTGGCACGATGATCTTTTCTTTTGTAGTACTTGAGACGGAACCCCGGGGCCTGTGTGTGCCAGTCAAGTGCTCTATCACCGAGCCCATCGCCATCCTGGTACACATTTCCTTAGCACTATGAGAGAGAATAGCAAATTTACCCAAGATGAGGGGTATTAAGGCTTCATATGTAGATGCATGCTTTTTTAGATAAGCTTTTTTGCGGGGGGGGTACTGGGGGTTGAACTTGGGACCTTGCACTTGTGAGGCAGGCGCCAGAACCACTGAACTAAACCCCCGGCCCTGCACGCATGCCTTTTAAAGCAAAATCTCACACCAAAATCCAAGAAATAACAATAAATATTAACTGAATACCTGTTTATGCCAGGTACTTTATATACATCCTTACCATACAGGGCACATCCATCCCGGCGAGCACTCAGTACATGATTATTACCTGTTACCTGCATTTCAGTGTTAAGAAAACAGGACCAGAACATGCACACCTGTAATCCCAGCACTCAAGGAGGGCTGAGCCCAGCCTGCAGTAAGACTCCACCTCAAAAAACAAAACAAAACAAACAAAAAACCCAAAAAGGATTAAACTACTAGCAAAGAAGCACAAAGCCCTAGCAGAGAAAAAATAGGATATGAACCAGGACTATTTGGCGGTAAGGTGTACACTTTGCCTCCCTCTATCTTGTTTTGCTCCAGGTATTTGGTTTGTTTGTTTGAGACAGGGTCTTACCCTGTAGTCCAGACTGGCCTTGAACTGAGGCAATCCTCCTGCCTCAGCCTCTCTAGTGCTGTGTGCCATCATGCCCGGCTCTTCCTCTATCCTCTTAATGATCTCTGCAGTGCAGCGCTGTTGCCTCCATTTTGCAGATAAATAAAAGGAGGCTCTGAGAGCTCGCTGGAAGGACTTGTTCAAGGTCACCCAAGAGGCGAGTAGCATGGGCCAAAATTCTTGGTACTCAGCCTCTTGGCCTGAGGAATGTGGCCACCTGAATCATTTCTGGTTGGGGACAGCCAGGCTTAATTCGACACGCCCAGTCCACACATTTAATGAGGGTTACTGTTCAAACGCTGAACAAAACGAAACGTGTCCTCACTGACACTAACTGAACGTGCAAGCCACCTCACGCCCCAGGGGCTGTGCACACGCAGCTCAGACAACCTTCTACAGTCCCACACCCACAGGTGGCTGAGCTGACCCAGCTGTGGGCTGCTGCCCCCTCCTCTGTAGGGGACTCTGAGCCCAGGTCATGTCTGAGAGCGACCCACTGATCTTCTTCTACCTCTAGGCCTCTCTTCGCACAGGCGCCGCACTCTGGTGTAACCTGCTGTCAGGGAAACCCAGACAAGGAGACTGCGGAGGGAGGGAAGGAATGCAAAGGGCTTCAGGGAAAGCTTTTGGCAGAAGGCATTTTTGTGCTTTCAGTTTCCTGGCCATTCTAGAAGGATGAAAACCACAGAACACTAACCTCTATACATGGGTTCCTGGGAAAAACTTTTTTTTAACTTAACAGCTGTGTATTTTTTAGGAAGTATTTAAAATGTGGAAAGGAGGTTGGTTTCTCAAGGCTAAACTGATTGGGATCAGAGATTTAAAAACATGACTCAATGATGTGCTATAAAAATTAAATTCTTGGGCTGGGGATTTAGCTCAGTGGTTTCGCCGCCTGCTGCGCAAGCACAAGGACCGAGTGCAATCCCTGGTACCAAAAAAAAAAAAATTGAATTCTTTCAAAGGCAATATATTGAGAAAGGAATCAGACTCAATTATCTAGGAATGAATTAGGTTTAAAATGTGTCAATTAAAATTTCCATAAAAATACTTAAAAGAAGATTTCACTCTGATCTACCATAAATGAATCCTTTCTCCAAATAAATTTTGGGAAATCATCCTAGATGTCTCAGATAAAAACAGGTGTGGTGGCTCATGCCTGTAATCCCAGCAGTCTAGGAGGCTGAGACAAGAGGACCACAAATTCAGTCCTGCTTGGGCAATTTAGTGAGTCCCTGTCTCAAAATAAAAAAATAAAAAGGGTTGGGGTTGTAGCTCAGTGCAAAGGCCTTGGGTTAAATCCTCAGTACCGGCCCCCTCCCAACCCCCAGGTAAAATTTTTAGGGCCCTGATCGTAAATCTAACAACACTGAACCAGAAAGCCAACTGGTTTTGGCTTGCCCCGTGAATGACAAACGACTCCCCTGCCAGGTGAGGGCGGCAGATGAGGGTTCTACTCTGTAAGCTGGAAATGTAGAACACAGAGAAAGGGACTCATTAAAGATCACGAGTCTCACTTGTAGCAGAATTTGGTGGTACTGTCTAGCTGCCTCCTTCACTCTCAGGAATACAAATTTAAGATGATATTGTAAAGTTTAAAACCTGGGAAGGCCAGGTGTGGTGGCACATGCCTGTAATCCCAGCACCCAGGAGGCTGAGGCAGGAGGATCACAGGGAGTTAGAGGCCAGTCTAGGCTTCATAGTGAGTTCAAAGCCAGTCTGAACTACAAAGCAAGACCTTACCTCAACAAAACAAAACAAACCAATAAAAAAAACCTAGGGAGATCCTTAAAAGGCGACTTTTGAAATTTTTGTATTTGAGCAAATGTATAGCTGTTATCTTTATAATTTTTAAACAGAATCCCCTATTTTTTTTCTTGGGCTGGTTTCATTTGAGATTTCCGGGAAAGTCTCTAAACTCTACAGCACACTGAGCTTTCTGAAGAGAAGTGGACCTTGCTTCCTCTATGGCTACACTCAAACAACATCATGCCCTAGGACTGACAGCAAAAACACAAACAAGTCATTACACACTGTGGAAATCAGTATGGAGATACCTCAAAGAACTAGGACTGGAAGTCCCATTTGACCCAGCTATTCCCCTGCTGGGTATCTTTCCCAAAGAATTAAAAGAATCATACCACAGTGATACATGTGCACCCATGTTTATAGCGGCACAATTTGTAGTAGCTAAAACTTGGAAGCAGCCCAACTGCCTGTCAACTGGAGACTGGATAAAGAAAATGTGGGTTTAAAAAAAAATAAAATGGAGTACTACTCAGCCATAAAAACTGAGAAATTAGAGACATTTATAGCTAAATGGATGCATATTGAGGCGATACTCTTAAGTGAAATAAATAGGATCCACATGTGTAAATACCGAATAGTTTCTCTAGTGTGAGAAACTGAAAGTGTAAATAAGGACTAAAAGGTATAAGAGATAATGTGAAATAGGAAGAAAAGGGGCACAGGGGAAGGGGAAGTGGCAGGGGTAGGGGAAAGGAAAGAAGAGAATGGAATTAATATGAGAAAATGAAAAACTGGAAACAAAGTCTTTGTAGACAGGGAGGGCAGGGGAAGGGGGAAAACATAAGAACTAGGAGAGATTATGTAAAGCCGAAAATTTCCAATGATGAATGTCATTATATCGTATACCTAAAATGTACCAATAAAATTAATTTTTTAAAAAGTCATTACATGTAGGGATTCAGATGACTTCTTTTCACTAACTAAATCATGCTGTTTTGAGTTCAAGTTTCATAGGGGGGACACCTAGCAAGTATCACTATCATCTTCAGAGTTTCTCTTGCAGTGGAACCCTGAGACAGAAAATCAGCACCCCATGCCTGAAGCTGGCATTTAGCACTGAGTCTGGCCACAAAGGCAGCACAGGGACTTGTTTCACAAAGATTTCATCTCCTCCTACTACAAATATGGGAAGTGCCTGCACTCACTGGGAGGAAAAAAATTAAAAGAAGTGTTTCTTTGCCTCCCATCTATTGGTTCAATAAGGATAGACCCTAACACTCCAGCAGTTTCAGCGGATATGGGTCAGTAAGCCTGGAAAGCAGGTAAATGGCTGCTCAATTACTGATGACCCAGTCCAGCTATGAATGAGTGGCAAGAGAGGATGACTGCAGAAAAGAATGGCTTCATTTACCACTTTGCTTCCAAAAACTAGGAGAGGGAGAGAAACAAACAAAAAAACCTGTAAATAACTAGGCAGAGGCTCATTCAAAGAGAGAGAGCCTGAAGTCCAAAGAAGCGATTTACTCAAAGCCTTAGCATCAATACATTGAGAACAAGAACCCCCGGGTGCCTCGCGACAGCTTAACAAGACTTGAATTGGCGAAGACTCTTCCATAGTGAACAGTGGGTAACACACTTAAGGGTCACTTATGTGGGGTGCTCAAGGACACAGGGCCAGAACTAGCAGCTCTGCAGTCTCAGGTCTGGTAAACTGAGGCCACAGCACTGCAGAGGTCAAGAGCTGAAGCTCCTGAGCCGGTCTGCCCAGGGTGGAATCGCAACTCCTGCCCTTCTAGTGGTGTGATTTCGGAGTTGCTCAGTCTTCCTATGACTCCTCAGATTCCTCAATTATAAAACAAGGACTGTCAAAATAAGGGATGCTGTGAGAATTCAAAGAGTTAACGTAACAAGAAGTGTCCGATCAGCAAGGTGGCACCAAAGCAAGCACTCAAAAAACAACAACAAAAAAGTTATTAAAACACCACACAGACCAACTGACCACGCACACAGAGCCAATTTCTTAAGACGGCCAAACTTGGCTAGTTTGGATCACCAGACAACCTGAGAGGTGGAATTAGGGATTCTCTGGCAGGGCTGAAAGTCCAGGCCTGCAGTTCGGCGCTGATGCGCACTATGACCTGACCTTGGAAGCCTTTTCGCCCTTCAGGACAGATCTCAGACGCAGGCTAGTCAGCGAGGAAACGCACCGCAAACGTGTGTGCGCCAGCCAGACTCTTTCGCGTTATTTTTTTATTCTGGGGGAGACTGGGTAAAAGCACTTGGCTCGAACGCCGCAGCTGTCAGGAGGGCACCCTTCTCTCCTGGCCTAGGGTTCTTTGCTAATCTGCAGTCTCCCAATGAGTCTCGGGAGGATCTGCCTTCGATTTCTGCACAGCGGCTCCGGAAAATGAAGGCGGGCAGGAGACGCTCGCCTCGGAGGCTGGACTCGCTCCAGAGGCGGGACGACTCCACGAGACTCTCGGGGACCAGACAGAGCCGCGGGAGGCTCCCGGTGGCCTTGACCTTGGTGTCCGAGGCTCAGTTTTCCGTCCCCCCGGCTCGGGGTGGTGACACAGCCTGGCCTGGGCCAAAGCAGGTACGCGGGGCGCGGGCGGGGCCAGGACCCGGGGCCGTGAGCCCTCGGGCCCCTCAGAGGGCGCGGCCTTCGCCCTACGGGGGCGCAGAGCACCGGCGCTCGGAGGGCCGGGCTGCGCGGTGGGGACAGCTCGGGGTGGCGGGCGCGCACGTCGGCGGGGTCACGCGGCCTCCGCCCCGGGCCGCGACTGAGCGGGCCGGGGGCGGAGCGGTAACTCGAGCGCCGCCCTCCCGGACGCCCCGGCCCGGCCTCTGCACCGCCGAGCCCCGCGGCAGGCCTCACCTCCCTGCCCACGTTCAACAACGAGTAATAGTCTTCATTGTCCAGCTCCTCCTCGCTCAAGGCCGTCGCCATCTTCGCAACCTTTCACCCCGCCACACCGGCGAGGCCGTGCTCAAGAGGGCCGGGCGCTCGGAGGCCGGGACAGCGCGGGCCCTTGCCGCACCACAGTGGCCCCTAGCGGCCCGGAGCGGAGCGCGCCTGCGCACTGCGCCCCCGCGCGGCCAGGGCTGGGCGCGGAAGAAAAACTTTAACGTCCAATCCGCGAGGTTGTGTCCCTCGGGATCCTGCGGTGACGGGCCCCTCTGGGGCACCACTGTTGTCCCCAAACCTGGGAAGAGGGCACCGTGTACCCCGGAGCCCAGAGATCCGCGACCCGGGTCCCAGATCCCATCCTCGCAGAGGCTTCCTGACCCACTTGCTGACCTCTGTTTGCCTCCCAGATGAGACTTGTGTCTTTAATTTTGGCCACCCAGAGAAGCCTGTCTGCCAGAAAATGGGATCTCGCATTTTAATTTAAAAAAAATCTCCCGCCATGGTGGCGCACGCCTGTAATCTCAGCACTTGGGAGGCTGAGGCAGGAGGATCGCCATGCGTTTGAGGCCAGCCTGAAGTAATAGCGAGACACCGTTTCACCAAAGGGGGCCGAGGATTTAGCTCAGTGGTTTCGCCGCTTGCTGCGCAAGCGCAAGGACCTGAGTTCGATCCCCGGTACCAAAAAAAGAAAAAAACACCAAAGGAAAAAAAATCACTGTCTGCTATTTAGGAGCACCTGGTTGTCTTTTCTGCCGGTTTGCCTCCTCATATAATTGTCCGTGGCATGCGTGTGCACCTCCAGGTTCCTACCCTAGAGCCATTCTGCTGTAAATTCTCCCTTATAATTTAGCAAGGGAGTCTAATTGATTTCAACCTGGTGCCTGCTGTTTGGTGCATTATTAAAGACGTCTTGGTTACAATAAATAATTTAAATGTCTTCGAAATGGTGCCATTATCAAAAGAAGTGGGCAGCCGCTCAGGTTCCTGTCACCTGTTCGCTCCTGCTGACCTGTGCCGATTCTTTATTCTTTCTCGGGAACCTTAGTTGCTTCTTAACTAACCGTCAGATGGGAGCCATCCTGGTTGCCCTTCAGAAGCCGGCCTCTGGGGACACCCCTGCCACCTGTCTGCAGATTGGAGAAGTTGATTTCTTTCTCTTTCTAATTTTTGGTCAGATGTGCACCATCTGGGCCGCTGTATCGACCCTTCCAACTTGTCCGGCCTCTTAGGATCTGATGGCAGGAGACACCTAGGTGTGCGTTGCCTGGTTGTTCGAGAGCAAGAGTCTGTCTGCAACAGGCTGTCAGGCCGGCTGAGCATGGAGCACTGTTTCTTTAGCTGTGTGAAGCTTCCCTGCAGCAGCGCCCGAGTGTCTTGGGCCTGTCAGCTTCTCCAGAGATTTTTACAGGCTTTTTGTTTTCCTTCTTTGCAGAGCAGTGATGGGGGCTATGGCACCTGCTAGTCTTTGAGAATTTCATATTTGAGCTGTTCCTTTCCCCCAGGTTTGTAGCCATTAATTGGGGTTTAATACTCACTTGGGTAGAGGTGTTCTTGCCAAGCTTTCCCTTCTTAGGAAAACACAGCCTCTAGAAGTTCTGCAAACGGAACACAGCATATGTTTCACGACGCCCAGGTATTCTGTGATTGAGAATGACCTGGTTTTTAGCACCACTTGCACAAATCAATTGAGACTCAGGGATGCTCTGTGTCTGTCTTCTCTTGGGCCCGCGACGTTTTGTGTTATGGCTCCTTGGACAGTGGCTGTGATAAATGGAATACTCACCTCCACGCAGAGCAGGCCCGAGCAATGTGATTACTTCAGAGGTTGGCTCTCTCCTGGCTCCCTTCCAAAAACCCTGGTCTGCGATGGGCAAAATGATAGAAGCCAGGGCCGGTACAGATTTATAAGCTAAAAACTGATCAACACACTACTCAAGCCGAGCCTCTGCCAAAACCACAGCCACCTGAGCTCAGGGCCTTGCCACTATGTTTTCTTTTGTTGGATAGAGCTACAAATTTGTAACTTAGCTGTGAAAATAGTGTATTTATATAATGCATCTATGTTACTGTGTTACTATATTTATATGTGTGTATGGGTTTATGTACATGCACATACATCTGGCTTATATATGTGCATATACTGAAAATGATGTGGGATTCTCTTATCTTTTAAAAAAATTTGTAAAATTTATTTATTTATTAATTTTTGGTAGCAGCAGTTGAACTTAGGGTGTCGCCTTTGCCAAGCAGGCGCTGCATTGCTGAGCTACATCCTCAGCTCCTTTTAAAAAAATTTTTGAGACAGGGTCTTGCTGTGTAACCCAGGCCGGGCTTGAACTCAGCATGATTCTCTGCCTCAGAGTATGTGTACCATTGTGCCTGGCTTTTAAATTCTTTCATCTTTTTTTTTTTTCTTTTGTGGTTTTTGAGGCAGGGTCTTGTTATGTAGCCCAGGCTGGCCTCGAACTTGCTGTGATCCTCCTGCCTCAGCCTCCCAAGTGCTGGGATCACAGGTGTGCACCACCACATTTGGCTTTTAAGTTCTCTAATCTTTAAATGTAAATATAAGGACATTTATCTCCACTATTACTCATACTCAAAATGACTCTAAAACATTTTGGGTCCCTGTGCAGCCATTCTGTGTAGTCACTGGGGAGGTTTCCTCCATTTAATGGCTCAATCCAGTTCCCTGGCCCTTACCTCTAGCATGTACTGGAGACAGAATGTCTGGAGCAGGGCCGCGGATTCAGCTCAGTGGCGCCACTCCTGCCTCACAAGCACAAGGTCCCGAGTTTGATCCCCAATACAAAAAAAAAAAGAATCGCTGGAGCCACACAGCATGGCCAGTTAATTTTGAATCTCACGTAAAGAATGAATAACTTAAAAAAAAAAAAAAGAATGAATAACTTTTTAGTGTATGTACACTCGAGAGACAGGAAGGCATACACTTAATGAAATGTTGTTTGGGTGATCCAGATGTAACAGGGTGCCAGGGTCTGGGTTAAGAATGTCCCTGGAAGCTCGGTGGCCTGGTGCCATAGGAGGTGACGCAAAAGTGAAGAGATGTGTCCTGCCCGGAGCTCTTGGGGCTTTGAAGGTCTCTCTCAGGCTTCCTCAGCCATAGGCCCAAAGCAAGAGGGTCAACAAGTCATAGGCAAACCCTCCAAAGCTGCGAGCCAAAACAAACCTGTCCTCTTCATTTTACTTTTTCTTTTGAGACCCGGTCTTGCTATGTAGTTTGGGCTGACCTTGAACTCACTGTGTAGCCCAGGCTGGCCTCAAACTTGTGGCAATCCTCCTGCCTCAGCCTCCCGAGTGCTGGGATCACAGGTGTGGCCACCCACACCTGGCAAACCTTTCCTCTTTAAAGGTCACTTTACTTGGGTGTTTGTTACAGTAACAGCTGACTAGCACACTGGGCATTCTCTAGTTTTGTTTGCAAGCTCAGCTGGAGGGCCTCCTAGTCTGCCCTCTTTTCTTAAGAGTCCTAAAAAAGAGGGGGCAGCTGCCCCACCCCTTCTCCCAGTAGGCCGAATCCGCACAGCTTCTTTGTAATGCAGGAGGAAACTTTACCTCTGGTCATGTTATTATTCCTTTGTCACCAAGTCCAGCTGGGATTTAAAGCTTGCTTGCCATTCACAGCAGTTCCTCCTTTCCCTCCTGAGTGCTGATAACCCTGCTAACAGAGATAGGGCCCACCTTAGCTAGAGGAGAGAAGCAAGAATTCACAGCACTCAAGAATTAAATTTTCTTGATGTTATCTACTCCCTCCGCCTTTAGTGACTTGTCACTGACATTGTTAGCCAAGGTGCTAATTAGGCAGGGTCATGGGGAGCCAGGGCTTTTCCTCTGCTGCGAAGCCACCCATGAGGCTGGGTGGGGCTGAGTGCCTTCCCCTAGGGCAGCCTCGGGTGGCAGCGGAGACTGGCAGCAGGGCAGGTGCACTAGGAGCTTCTGGGAGTCACCCTCTGAAGCGTTTAATCCCGGAATCTCCAGGTCAGAGCTTTTTGCCTTGAAACTCAGCATTGTACCTACAACACGATCTATTCACCCATCTATTTATGCATTCATCGTTCCGTCCATCCGTCCATCCGTCCATCCACCAATCCTCCCATTCATCTACCCCTCCTTACATCCACCCACCCATCCATAATTCCTTCCCTCCTTCCTTCCTTCCTTCCTGCCCCGGGACTGGTTTTTCCACTGTTTGTGACTCTGAATCCTTGGTCCCTCTATATTAACCATCCCGATCCATCAATTTCCTTGGATGATGCAGTTGGATCGCTTTCCACTGTGCCTTCTTGGACATTTGGTGGACACAAAGTTCAAGTTCATGTCGTCTGACTTCCACTGGCCCAGGGTTGCTTGGCAGTCCTCTTATGTTCCCTTCTTCTTAACATCTTGTATGTTCCTCCAAAGTGTCTCTTCCACTTCTCTTTAAGTTTTAAGACAGAGTCCAAGAATGGGGCTTGGAGTTTCAGCAATTCTCACGGGGGAAGTGGCTTCAGTGCTTGTAGAGTCAACCCTCTAATGTGTGTGTGTGTGTGTGTGTGTGTGTGTGTGTGTGTGTGTATACACAATAAATAAGTTAATGTACGAGGTAATTTCCAGTGAAAAGTGAAAGACAACATGGCGATGTATGGTGGCATGTCTCACATGGAGGGAGGTTATTCTGTATTGGTTGGGTCAGGGAAGGTCTATCTGGAGAGGTGATTTTGCACTGAATGATGGGAAGGATGAAGCTTGGCTGCACCTGAAGGAACACATTTCCAGTGCAAGGGCTGTGACTAAGGCAGGAGTTTGTTGTGCTTGAGGGAGAGAGCCTGTGATCATGCAGCTGGTGAAGGTGGGGAGTGGAAGGAGGGGATGTTAGAGAAGCTATGAGACGTGCGGAACACATACAGTGAATGTTTAAATGAAAATTAAAAAATACTGAAGGGCCCATTGCATGAATTCCCCTCAAAATACTCCCTCAGCCAGCTGGGAACATACTTATCCCATGGTTCTTGCTGCTTTCTGAAGCACTTTTAGAAGTCCTTTTCCTGAGTGTCTATTTTGGGGCTGCCTGCATGGCCTGAATTGATTCGAAACATTTATGATAATTTCTGTCAACAAAAGCATTCTGCTGCGTCCTTATCCACTTT